GACTCAGTAGCAGAAGAAAGCAAGTTTATATGAATGTTGAAACCAGAAAAATACAGATCAGCAGTAGCCAAGAGACCCATGCAAAGCCAGAGCAGTCTGCTGAGCTGGTGGACAGTTGAATGCTGCAGCCAGCTCGTCCTGACTCTCCTTGGAAGTAAGTGAAGCACTGAGCTGAGCAGGACTAAATGCTCTCAGAGGAGTAATTTCCAAATGGAGAGGCTACTGTGGAGGCTAAGCACGTTGAACTTGTTAGAGCATTTCTCAGCTATACTCAGAGTCTGCTGTGTCAATATTGCAGTGCAGTTCTCTTTGCTCTTTGAAAACAGGGTGCAACACGCTTGTGTTTCCACTTACCTGTGCAATTCTGCATCAGTATAATTTCAAAATGTGCACTGCTTCTGTGCTGGCAGGGCTGCAGAGGGAGAGGAAAGGGGCATGTGAAACACCTTGCGTGTGGGAAGGTCTCACCAGCCTCTAACAGCCCTGTGCACAAACCAGGCTTTGTTTAACTGTGTGTGTTCCTGTGCATGAAGTACAGCATTAGTGAGTTTGAGCAAGCCAGGACTCCAAGCACAGAAAACGGGCCCCCCACATGTAAACTTAATCATTATTACAATGGAATCCAGTTTGAGGTAAAATGAAAGAGACTGAGTCAGGTTGAACAAAGCCAGGGCAAGAATCCCAAATAAAGGATCACTAGCTTTGGCTAGTGATAAAAGTTTCCATGTTGGTCTTTCACCATCTCTCTCTGTGGGTGTCCCGTGCTGAGAGACCCAAGTGATGAGGGCATGGCAACAGGCACCCCCACCTTCTTGTCATTTGAGGTTTCAGAGAGGAAGGTGAACACCTTGCAGAGCAGCCAGGAGATCTCTGAAATAAGAACCACATTAAGTATTTGTTTGTTTGCTTTTTTTTGCCCCCTAAGGACTTCATGTTTTTTGAGCATGGTGCTGATAAGAACCAGCGATCAGGAGTTTGGTGATGAAATCTAGAAGTTTTATATAGAAGAAAGAAGAACCTGGATGTCCCAACTTCCCAGTGAATTGCAGAGCTCCAGTAATAATGTGAGAAATGTACATATTACAGTTACATTTCTAGAAGGGAAAAGCCTTATGATCTTCTTTTTCTTGGTGGTTTTTTTTTTTTTTTTTTTTTATACTCTGGTGAAATAGTTTGTAGTGTTGAAATAAAAATCCTTTATCTGCACAGGTGAATACTGTGATTGTAGAAATATATGGCAACCTTTTTATTCCTGAGAGATTTGGAATTGTAAAGTAACTACTTATAGTAATACTTTAATTCCTAAAAAAGAGGACTACTTCTATATTCAATATTAATGTTAGCAGTGAGCCTAATAAAGAGATGCTGATCTTTTCCTGTGTATCCTTTGGTTGTTTTACCTTGGTGTTCACATCCTGTAGTTTTCAACTTCTTATCCAAATATTTCAAATATAAACATTCAAAACAATGTAATGGATGTGAAAAGAACTATCTGAAATCAGTCTAAAATTGTATTAATTTGGTGTATTGGGTCTGTCTTCGTTTTGCCACAGCTGCCCTCCCAGTGCTGTGCTTTGTGTTGGTAGCTGGAAAGGTGTTGATAACACATCAGTGTTTTGGCTACTGCTGAGCAGAGCTGGCACGGCATTAGTGCTGTCTCTCAACATTCCAGCCCCCATCAGTAGGCTGGGAGTGGGTAAGATCCTGGGAGGGAACACAACTAGACCAGCTGACCCAAATTGATCAAAGGGATATTCCATACCATATGATGTCAGCTCAGATATAAAAGCTAAGAAAAGGAGGAGGAGGAAGCAGGGGCATTAATGTTTGCCTTCTGAACCAACTGCTACATGTGCTGAAGCCTTGCTTCCCAGGAAGTGGCCAGACATCACTTGCTGTAGAAGAAAGAAGAGAATTAGAAGAATATGGTTGTTTTTTTTCTCTTTGTGCGCACACAGACTTTCACTTTTGCTTTAGTAAACTGACATATCTCAACCTATGAATCCTTTTCCATCTTACTTTCTCTTCCTTATGCAGCTGAGAAGGAGGTGTGATAAAGTGGCTTGGTGTGCAACTGGCATCCAGCCAAGGTCAGCCCACCACATCTGGTGATAAATATGTTGTCAAGTATGACTCCTAAGTGTTTCCTGATTTTGGTTGTTTTGAAACTTAAAGTTTATATTTTCAGTAATAGAAATTAGAGGAGACAGGAAATATATATGTCTGTGTTTGCTTCTTTTTAATAATCCTTTAGTAATTGCTTTGTGCATGAGTGTGTCCTGAGGCAAGGCAAAACTAGTTAGTTACTTTTCTGTTTCTCCAGTTATCTTTCCTCCTCATTTTTTTCCATGGTTTTCATGGATTTTAAGTCTGCCTGTCAGTGTGAGGGTGCAGTAATAATAAACAGAACAATTCCACTTCAAAAGCAGACACGTGAAATGTGTATATTATGCCTTTTTAAAGTTAGCTTCTGCTGCTAAAGTTCCTTGTATGTGGAATTGCTGGAGGTGCATTTTTAATTCATCAACACTATTCTTAGGGAATTAATTTATTATTATTATTTTGAAAAAAATTTGTGCTTTAATAACCAGCTATTAATTAATGAGATATCAGAAATTCAGTCTCGCTAAAATCTGCTAAAAGTTTATGATTGCTTGAATAAGGAATAGAAGCTACATATATTAGAAATCAAAGTAAAAGACCCAGGACCAGACCTGTCCTCTAGGGATTCATATGGGTAAGTCCACCATTATCACCCCTGCAAAGGGGTGACACACAGCTTCAGTTCTCCCTGTAGCTCTGAAGTCCCAGGCTCAAGCCCATTTGATAGCTGACTTCAGCAGGGAGCGGAGTTACTCAAATAAATATTCCATAAAGATTGTTTTGGAGATACTTGAAAGGACCTATTTACTTCCATGGCAAGTGCTGCATAGTGTTTAAATTTACAATTTGCATTAGAGTGAAGTCTGTGGCTGTTTGACAAAAGGTTTGAATAATACTTTGCAAGTAAGCAAAGCAGGGATCCCTTTGCCCATGGTAAAAAGAACCTTGGTATCATAAATTCATCCACTGTCAATAAACTGGGGAATGTATGCAAATTTAAGAAAGGCATTAGGAGCTTGGGCTAATACAGCATAACCAGGAGACTTTATTTTCATTCCTCCAGGTAATTAAATTTTTTTTGTTCAAATGTTGTTCTTAGGTATTCAGCATAAGTCCTGAAAACTCCATTGCCTCAACAGTCTTGCATATGAAATTACAAAGGAAAAATCATGTACATCTCTGCAGAGCAGTAAGGGAAGAATGTGAGAACGTTAATGGTTAAGAATGATCAGCTTCACGTCAAGATGTGGTGGAAAAAAACTGTTGCAACTCTCATATCTTAAGGAGAATTTCAGTTGCAAACAGTAACAATTCTGTGAAATATAATCAAAGCAAAGATATCTGTGCTTAAAACAGGTTTCTCAAATACAGTGAATCCCAACAATGAAGTTGTGCTGTTGCCATTTAGATTTTTGGATTTTATGCTGCTGAAGTCTAGTGGTCAAATTACTCCAGCTTGTTCCTTTACCACGTATTTAGCAAAATTAGTAAATTAGGTGAAGAATTAGATAACCCAAGAGAAAGCTAAGAGACTGAGTCAGGTTGAACAAAGGCTCTAGTAGCTCCCTGTCACCATTCACAGGGAGACTTCAATACATTACTGATTTTGTTCTGGGGAGAATTTATCTTCTGTTCTATAGATATATTTGACCTATCCCTTAGTTCTAGTTTATTTACATGTTTTACCTGATAACACTTCATTAATGACACTGTTATTAAAGACAGCAGTGATGATTATGTATACATGAGAGCATTGCAGCATACCAAAGAGGGAGAAGAGATGAAAACAGGGATATATGACTGCATCTCCTATTTTTCGATGGGTGGCAGTGTTAGCACAGAAATTATTTTTTCACTGCTTAAAACCTGGCTATGAGATCCACAGGCGGTTTGCTTAGATGTCATTCTGATTTTCTTAGTGGAAGAATTTCAGATTACACTATGTCCAAAGTATGTATTCCCTACATGAGTGTGGAAAGCTCGATGTGTCTTTCCCACCCAAGCAGTAAAATCCTAAGCTTCAAATGCAATTATGCACCACTAGGAAAATTAAAAAATGTGCATGAAAGTATGTTAAACCATGATTGATTTAGAATACTTAGACAAAATACTGTGTAATGTCCTTAAAGTTGCATTAGTCTTGGTAAATGGTGTAATTTGGAATTGGACTATGATTTCTGACAGAATTTACTACTGAAAGCAAAAAGTTATTAATATACCACAGCAGGGTACATCAAAGCAAACAGGCTGATTTCGTTGCTGCTTTAATGTCACTGATTTATGTCTGAGGTGCATTTAGCCCCCTAGACATGAGATAGACTCAGTGTGCATGGCTATGACGTGGACCACACTGCAGGGCAGTGGAGGAGAGGGCGAGGGACAGGAGACCTGTGCCAGGCAGGCCTAGGAATCTGCTCCAGTCTTCCCCCCAGGCTTTGGTTGTGTTTTTCTCTGTTACATTTAAACTTGCTGCTCATGCCTCAGCTGGTTTAACCTTTAGCTGACCTAGTTATTGAACCAGGGCAGCTGGTAGCATCTGAGGAAGTCAATATTTCTCCTTTGTTGCTTGCCTTTTACCGAGGAGCAGACACACAGACACTGGTGCGCAGCTGAGCAGCACAGAGGGGAGCCTACACTGGTCCTGTATACACCAGGACCCTTGAAGCTTCTTGTGTCCCTGCCCCTGATGCACAACCACCATCAGCCCCTGAGGGCAAATGCATGCCAGAAAAAAAGAAGGGAGAGTGAGCTAGTGCAGTGCAGGTACTGATGATCTGGCTGCCTTCTGTCTAGGAGCCTCCTCTTCCTTGATTCACGTGCTACAGAGAGGGAGTGACAGAGATGTTCAGCAACAGGAAAATTCCCGTGCAACTCTACATCACAACTTCAAGGAGCATGGACAAAGTTTTATTCCAAAGGTGAGTGTTCAAATTACCTTGAATTTTATTCAAGGTAAGTGCAATGCTGCCACAGCACTGCGTGAGGAGCTGGGAGTCAGCACTGGCACGGTGGTGCTGGCACTTGGTGGTGCAGTGAGTTGGCACAGGGCCCCAGGAGGGAGCAGTGGGTGGCAAATGCTGTATGGAAACTCCTAAACAAACTGGTGAGGCTGAGGTTTGTGGTGAAGGCTGTAATTAAAGCTATTTATAATAAGAGAAGTATAAACAAAAGGTAACTTGCTAATTTAAATGACCCAGTTATACGTTTTGACCCTGAAGACACTGAAGACTTTGGGGCTCCCTTGACTTAGTGGCTTACAGCAGTGTTTTGCTGCTATTATGTGTGACCTGCACGTCAGTGCAGTGGTGTTTTGTAATTGAGGTCCTGGCTGCATATTCCTGCTCTGAAGTACAGTCCCTCTTGTGTAAGTGTATGGTTCCTCCTGAATGTTGGGATTTTTTTTGGCACAATTTGAACAGCACAACTTCCCAAGGTATCTGAACTTGCACAAGCATTGCTCTGTGCTGGTCCACTTTCTGTTTAGTTATACCCTGCTATAGAACTGAGTTGTCATATACATCACTGAGGAACTCACTCCAACAGTCTTTACAGGCTGTAAGTTGCTCCTTCAGTTATTTATGAATCTTTCCCAACCCCAGCTGATATTTCAGTATTTCAGCTCAGGCTCTGTCTCACTGTGGCTCTCTCCAGCCATGTAGCATTACAAGGAACAACACTTGCCCTCGGGAATTTGAACAAAATCAATCCCAATACTGTAAGGGCTGTGTATGTTTGCCAAAGACCTACACATTAGCACCTAAACCCTGTCTTTTTCTACTCATGCAGCCAATCCTGCTTTTTAACTGGTATAAAACTTTTCTTTTTTTAATCTCATTGATTATGGCTGTACAATGGAACCAAGGCACACTGCTTTATTGTGTCAGCAAGTGTCTCATTTTTCTAAGAAGAGAATTTGTGGCTCCTGGAAAATATAGGTCTTTCAGCAGACTGAGGCTGAGCTTGCTGACACTCTGTTTATGTCCGTATTCTGCTTGTTGCCAGCTTGGGACAGAAAAGAAATACAAGCAAAGTTGTTCAACACGGACAAGGGCTCACTGTGCCCTGTCCTTTCCACTGGACAAACTTTGGAAAGGCTATGAGAGGTAGTAAGCTAATATTAAAATGCAGTAAGAATTAAAGCCAGCCATTGAAATGAACAAGAACGTACCTCTGTGTTGCAGAACACATGGGAAAAAAAAAAAAAAGAGCAATTAGTTAATGTTTCAGTAGTAGAGAGGAGTGCAAGACAGAGAAAGGTAAAATCTCTGTTGACTAAATCAATTATATTTATGAACATTGTTTGTGCTTCATTTATGGTGTTCAGCTTCTTAAGCAATAAGTTTAGCTGAAGGAAATATTTGTGCAAAAGTGCATATAAAAGAAAAGGAATGGAAAATAAATTTTAAAAATGTCAGTGGTTATGTATGCTCTAAGGAAGCTACTACGATGTGGTGCCACAGTAAAACAGCAACTAATCAACACCTCTTAAGCTGCTAATATGAGATCTTTACAGCAAATTGTTCTTCCTGGGGATTTGCATTTCAGTAATTATGTGGTGAAATTTAGCAAAAGCTTTCACTATCAGATAAACTCAAGCCAAATTTGTAGACGGAAGTATGCACAAGTCAAGTTTTTATCTTTTCAGAAAGATGTAATGAGGTGTAAACATCTATAAAACATGTTTGACTTCAAAATCCTTTGAGCTAAAGCTCTGCAAAGTCAAAGGCAGTTAGCTACCTGGTCCAGAGGGCTCCTAACACCATGTAATCCCTGTATCTCAGCTCAGATGTAGCGAGAGCAGTATTTCTATCCAGGTACAGATTAGGTGATTCTTGGTTAATGTACATTTATGATTAGAATTTGACCATTTAGAAATACAAATATAGCTGCTGACAGTGGGAAATAGCAAGAGAAGGGGGGCTAAAAATATCAGCATAATCAAACTTCAGCCTGGAGTGACTGGATAAGAGAGCATGATGAGGGCTTTCCTTGGGATGTGCTTTCCTCGAGATGTGCTTTGGTCCTGCCTGATTACAGGTAAAAATTGGAAAACTATTGCAATTCCTGGAACTTCATTCCTCCCCTGAGACCATTATCTTGTGCCCCAGATAGCTCCTGAGCTATCTTCCTGCAATTCATATTGATTCAGGTGCTTTTTGTTCAGCTAGGAGGAAGAACAAGGTTTATCCACCCAGCCTACAACAACTGATTCTGTCGGTCCTTTTGCTGCTGAGGTAAATTTGTATTGATAAACATTTGCAAATGCCTTCTTACAAACTCCCACAGCAATTCTACTAATAGCTGATGGCTGTCAGAATGGCATCAACAGTTAATTCTGCTGAGGACCAAAATGTTTTAATCTAATGCATGTTCTTTTTTGGCTGTAATATGAGTGTATGTAAGAGGAATGCAGTGAGTGGGCCATTCTGGTCAGAACACCTGATCAAGTGTCTCTTCTCAGGTTAAAATATAAGAACTATAATTTTTTCTTACAAAAGAAGGAAAAAAAAGAAGCCATGAAGAATGATGAAGATGCTCCTCTTAATCTAGCAATTTTGTGCATAAGGTTTTTATATTTTCATATACAATGGAATTGTCTAAATGAGATACTTGAATTAATTGTTATTTTAGATGTAGTTAGACGTTGCCCTGTTTATTGGAGATTTCTGTGACTGTGGAGCAGTAACTAAGTTTCTTCCAAGTCCAATTAGTTCCACGGTAATAATGGAGTAGATCACAAGTGCAAAAGATTGCTTTGCTTTAAAAGTTTACATATGCAACTTGCAAATGAGTTTTGGTGCAAGACTAAGAATTTATTCCATAAATTTAAAATCTGTAGAAGGCTGGAAAGAATTCACAGGAATCATTTCCTTAAAAGTCGTATTCACTTCCTCTATCACCACTGAAAAGGCACAGGGTTCCCAACAGCACTGCTGTGGGGAGTGATCTCGAGGCAGGTGGGGAGGGCCAGGGTGTTGCCAGAGGGGCTGCAGGTCCTGTTCCCAGTGACATGTGCTGTCCCCCAGTGACTTGTCATGAACTGGCACCTCAGCCACAGCATACGTGGAGAAACAAAGCATATTTGCTAGTACCTGTTTTCTGAATCTTTGCTTACTGCCAAATATTTTCCAGTGGGTTATGGGGAGACCGCATCACAGAGAGGTGCTGCTTCCTAACTCTCACCCACCCATCATCTAAATTAGGTGTTTTATAAATGTTTAATCACTCAAGTGTCAAAGCCTTTCTCTGCCCAGTCATGCTCTCTGGTTATGGAACCCTAAAATGATGGGAATCACAGACTGAGGTTTGTGTGGAGTTAGAAGTGGATGGACAAATTCAGAATCAAGCCTCCTCCATAATGAAAGACTGATAAATCACGTCTGCTTTCCTCTACAATGCAAAGAGGAAAAAAAGCAAAGGGATGACCTAATTTAGTCATTGAGATGAATGGTGTGATAGAAGAGTGTTCCTAAAAACGCACATAAAATGTAAATCCTTTTTTCCTGTGAGTGCCTGGGCAGCAGTTGACTTCTGTGACTCACTTAAGAGAAATTCCATGGGAAAAAGGTTAGGCTTTCTCTGGGATGAAAAGAACGAGAGTAAATGATATAAACGGTGATTGTAAAGCAAATCCCTGCCTTATATCCCATCTACACTATATGAAAAGCAAACTCAGACAGTAAAATTTTAATTGCTGCAGTAGGTTCCCTGTCTTTGAGAGGTGAACAGCACAGACTCCCATAAACAGAGCTCAGCTTTAAAGGCCAGCCTGGGAATTTTGATCCTTTTCAGAAGAGAAAAGAAGTGCATCTTCTCAGAGGCTTTTGGCATGCCCACTGAAAACCGTGGACATTTAACCAGTAGCTTTTTCCTCACTCCAGTTGGTTGTTGGTTTGATATGGAATAACCTATTGTGGAGTCACAGCCAAAACATCTTCCCCAACTGGCTTCAGGGAGAAGCAGCCAGAGTGGAAAGAGCGTGTGGATGGCCTACGTGCAGTTCAGTTCCAATGCACAGTGTTTGTTTATAGAAGCTTATATTCAGCTACACCGTCAGCTGTCTCAAACAGACCTAGAGCACAGGGAGAATAAAAAGCTGAAATTATGTTTGAGAACTAGAGGATTGTTTATAGCAATTCAACAGAACAATTGCATATTGGTATACAGCAATCTGGGCTGCTTTTGAGCAGCCAAAGGAAGATATGAAGAGCAGGATTAAATGGCCCACTCTTACTAAAACAACAAGAATCTTCATTCTCTCTGATACTGATTTGGAAAAAGACACATGAGGTATCAAGGACAGAAAGAGGCTGCCACTGAGATTTTGCAGAATCCTGGCTTTAGTGGCATATGAGTTTTCTTGAATTTCTCTGATTTAAAGGGGAATTTTTTCTGCCTTTATATTGTCTTTGTTTTGCTTTGGAAATTGTGTCATAATTCTTTCTCTGGCTTTGGTAGCTACTTGGAGCATGGTCCAATTTAAAGATTATATTTTGTTGTGGAAGCAAGTGGTTTCTATTCTTTAGACTGGAAAGCTGGGGATGTTATTACTATTACCTCTTGGGGGGTGAACCTTAAAACTGAATAACGTGAATAGCCTGTGGCAATAATAATACCTCACAACGGCTTTATATAGTGATTTGAGGAGTCCTGATGGCTCAGTAAATATTTAATAACAGTCTCAACATCATCATTCAGATTGCTAGCCTCACACTATCCCAGGTGGTGCTCAGTAGGCTTTTGCAGGCTGTCACCACAATGCTGAGCACAATGTGTCTGACACTCTTCTGGAGTCAAACAATACCATATTTACTAAACTGGTAGCAATCATAAAATCAAATTAATAATAATCTACTAGGACTACTTCATCTTTCCTGCTGAGGAAAAATGTTTACTAAATATTTTTTTTCCTCCAAAA